AGGGGTGGGGGCTAAGGATGAGGGATGGGGGTTAAGGATGAGGGGTAGAAACTAAGGATGAGGGATGGGGGCTAAGGATAAGGGATGGGGCTAAGGATGGATGGGGGCTGATGGGGGATTGGGGCTAAGTATGAGGGATGGGGGCTAAGGATGAGGGATGGGGCTAAGGATGAGGGGTGGGGCTAAGGATGAGGGATGGGGGCTAAGGATGTGGGATGGGGCTAAGGATGAGAGATGGGGGCTAAGGTTGAGGAATGGGGGCTAAGGATGAGGGATGCTGGCTAAGGATGGGGGATTGGGGCTAAGTATGAGGGATGGGGGCTAAGTATGAGGGATGGGGCTAAGGATGAGGGATGGGACTAAGGATGAGGGATGGGGCTAAGGATGAGGGATGGGGGCTTAGGATGAGGGATGAGGCTGAAGCTGGAGGCTAGGGCGGGAGCCTGGGGCTGAGCTGGAGGAAAGGAGCCGGCAGGGCAGAGTGGGCACCTCCCCTCCCCCATCAGGCAACAGAGGCCTGGGGAGCCCGGCATGAGGGATGGGGGCTAAGGATGAGGGATGGGGCTGAAGCTGGAGGCTAGGCCTGGGGCCTGGGGCTGAGCTGGAGGAAAGAGGCCAGCAGGGCAGAGTGGGCAACTCTCCTCCCCCATCATGCACTGGAGGCCTGGGGAGCCCAACAGGTGCTTCCTGAAGGGCCTGGGGAGGCCCTACCCCTTGTTCATGAGAGGGAGACAGGAGGCCCCAGAGCAGGGGCCACAGCAGGAAGAGCCTGCAGAGAGGGGCTGAGGGGCTGAGGAAGCCTCCAGTGCACTGTGAGCCACCCCCCAGGAGCCCTGGAGGGCAGGACTCCCGCCCCCAAGGACAGCGCAGGCTGTACCTCCCCCGTCACCCCCCCCCCAAGGCTCAGAGACCAGAACCCACACCTCAGCCTAGTCCCCGACCCTGCCTGTGCCCCTTGCTGCATCTGCGGCCCCACCTCAAGGGCCCCTCCATCTCTCCAGACCCGGGATCCTGGGACACCGCTCTGCCTGAGTCCTGGGAGTGCTGCCCACAGACCCTGCTCTCCCTGCCCCCGTGGGAGCCCCGTGGTCCTGCTCACCATCCCATGAGCTCCCTAACCCTTTCTCAGCCACCAGTCCTCCAGCCCCGCACACCCCAACCCAACCCAAATCTGTTCACACTGGACCAGGCAGAACCTTCTAGAGTGAGACTTTAAGCAAAGCCCCTGACATGTTCAGCCCCTTCACTGGGCACTCAGGTCACCTGTAAATGCAGTTCATCCAGCCACCTGAGCTCTCCAGGCACAAGGCCAGTCTCTGGGCCTCCACTTGGCGGTTCTTCTGCTTGAAGTGACACACATGTACGCTCACATACCCGCTCATGTACACAGGCACATGCGCAGGTGTACACACATGTACACTCACACGCCCACTCATGTACACGTGCGCATATGCACACAGGTGTACACACATGTATACTCACATAGCCACTCAGGTACATGCGCACATATATACGCAGGTGTACACACATGTACATTCACATACCCACATGTGCACACACATGTACACTCACATACCCACTCGTGTGCACACTCGAATGTGTACAAATGCATAGATGTACACACATGTACATTTACGCACTCAGGCACAAATGCACACACATGTACACTCATGCTTGTGCACACATGCGCACTCATGCGCGCCCGCGCACACACACACACACACACACACACACACACACACGGGCTTCTCAACACACTGGGCTCTCACCCTCCCCCAGCCAGCGGTCAGGGCACCATCGCGCCCTCCCAGACCTCAGGGTTGTGAGGCTGTGAGGCTGTGTCCATGCCCCTGTCTCCCCCCAGCAGAGCCTGCCCCTGAGCATACCTGCAGGCTGGCACCTGGCCCCAGGCAGCCTGTGCCCTACCTCCCCACACGTGGGCCCTCTGAGTCCTGGTACCAGCCCTAGTCTGACAGGAGCTAATGCCATCCTTCCTCCTCTCCCTGTAGCCGGGAGTTGGGGGACAGCAGCCTGCCAGGTGTGGAGGAGGGACCCTCTCCCTGCACTACTTTCCTAAGACCCCTCCCCAAGGACCAGCCGCCCCAGGGGACTGGGCGGGAACCACCTTGTGGGACACTGTGGCTCAGCAGTCACCCCCAGTATCCCGCACCTGTGGGGGCAGCGAACAGTTAGAAATAACGAGATGTGACCAGAGAGAGAAAGCAGCCTCTCGGCTGAGACACTGACAGACCCCAGGAGGCCCCCCACAGATCAGCGATGGACTAAGGGTTCCATCAGCCCCCGAGTCCCCCAGTACGAGGCCTTTCTCCACTGAGAACAAACCAAATGCGTGAGTGAGGAGGGGGGCATGAGAGAGCCTCAGCGCAGCCTTGAATCTGCTTTTATTTCTAAAGAAAAGGGAAAAGCAGGACTGGGTGTTGGGGTCTCCTCTGCTCTATGGCCTCCCACCCCAGCCTGGCCCTCAGGGGGAGACCCACCTCCACCCACCTGCCCCAACCCCAGCCTGGAGGTTTTGGCTAAGCCAGGAACCACAGTGCCAACTGGGACACAGTGATTGACAACTCTACAAAAACCTGGCAGCTGCCTCAGGGCTCAGGGCCAGGGGCTCTAGGGGCTGGGTAGGAGCACAAGATGGGGATGCCGTCCCAGCCAAGGGGCGCAGCTGGGTGATGGGAGCAGCCCGGGCAGGGGTCGGCAGGGGTGAGCCAGGTGTCAGGAAGGACATCCAAACCCAGCCCTGGGGACTGGGGGCAGGAGGGAGCCTGCCGGGGGCACCGGTGGGTGTGTCTGTGAGCAGAGAGCAGCCTTTGCAGCTTCCGGGGCTCCCCGGGGATTTCTGAGGCCTCGGCTCGGGGCCCACTCACTGAGGCTTCGAGCACTGGGGCCAGGGCACCCTGGTCACCATCTCCCCAGGTGAGTCTGGCATCTACTGTTCGACCTGGGACGGGGGTCAGGTGTGCCGAAGCCAGGTGTCCTGTTTGGTCTCAGACGTGGGACAGGAGGGAGGGGTGCGTTATTGTGAGGTAGGAGGCTGCACTACTCGGCCCGTCTCCCCCCTAGCCGTGGGTCTGTGTGGCCCTGGGCAGGGCAGCAGCCTAGCCGTCCAGGGGCCTGGGCAGGTTTATGTCTGGGGGGACCGGGAACTGTATTCCTGTGCGCTGCTCTTGATGTGTGGGGCCCAGGGACCCTGGTCACCGTCTCCTCAGGTAAGCCGGCTTCCTCTCCCCTCTGTCCCGGGGCTGGGAAAGGAATTTCCAGAGATTTTTTTTTTTTTTGCTCTATGTGGGGCCCTGTGGAGTCCCCAGGGGACTGCCCCTGAGGCCCCTGGGGTCTCCGCTCTGCAGACGGACTCTCATAGGGGACGGGGCCTTTGCAGGGGAGGCACAGTGGGCTGAGTGTCTGGAGGCGAGGAGACGAAGAGACCGGGTTTTCTGGGGTGGCCAGTGCTGGGGCGGTGGGTGAAGTTTTTGCACACGGCCTAAGGGAGCCCGAGGCGATGTGCTGACTTTGCTTACTGGGGCCAGGGCACCCTGGTCACCGTCTCGTCAGGTAAGCCGGCTTCCTCTCTCCTCCTCTCTCCCAGGGCGGGAAAGGACTTTCCAGAGATTGGTTTTTGCTCGGTGTGGGGCCCGGCGGGGTCCCCAGCGGGCAGCCTCTTGGGGGACAGGGTGGTAGAAGGCAGAGAGGGCTGCGTTCTCGGGGTGCCGAGTCCTGAGGAGAGGGGTTTGCTGAGATGGCTGGTGCCAGGCGGGGCCGGGTTTTTGTACGTGGCCTAAGGGAGCCCGGGGCAATGTGACTACTTTGACTACTGGGGCCAGGGCACCATGGTCACCGTCTCCTCAGGTGAGTCCTCCCAACCCCTCTCTCCTCTCTCTCCTGGAGGGTTTTTGGTGCTTTTTGGGGAAAATGAGTGTGTTTGGGTCTCCGGTCCAGGAGGTCGGGGGCAGCCTGGGGACTCGGGAAGGGGCCGGGGGCACCGTGGCTCCCCGGGACGCAGAGGACGATTCAGATTCTCTCCTCCGGGCTCTGCACCCAGGGGTCTCTCTGGGTCTCGGCCACCCTTGGCCTCCGGGCCCTGTGGTCCCCTCTGCCCTCCTGGGCGCAACCTGAGGTGGACATGAGGCCCGAGCTGGGCACCGGTTCTTGCAAGGGACCCAGGCGCGGTTGTCACAATGTGACAACCGGTTCGAATACTGGGGCCAGGGCGCCCTGGTCACCGTCTCCTCAGGTGAGTCTCCCACCACCCCCCCCTCTCCTCTCTCTCCTGGAGGGTTTTTGGTGCTTTTGGGGGAAATGAGTGTGTTTGGGTCTCCGGTCCAGGAGGACGGGGGCAGCCTGGGGACTCAGGCAGGGGCCGGGGGGCACCGTGGCTCCCCGGGACGCAAAGGACACAAAGAGTCTCTCCTCCGGGCTCTGCAGCCGGGGGTCTCTCTGGGTCTCAGCCACCCTTAGCCTCCGGGCCCTGTGGTCCCCTCTGCCCTCCTGGGCGCAACCTGAGGTGGACATGAGGCCCGAGCTGGGCACCGGTTCTTGCCCGGGACCCAGGCGCGGTTGTCACAATGTGACAACCGGTTCGAATACTGGGGCCAGGGCGCCCTGGTCACCGTCTCCTCAGGTGAGTCCTCATGCCGTCCCACTGCAGCTGCACTTGGGGAGGTTGGGGATCGGGTCTGGATATCGGAGATCGCCGAGGCATTTGGGGGTCAGGAAAGGGAGCCGGGGAGAGGGTCCCCCAAGTGGGGCTGGAGACCGACCTCCCCTCCCCAAGGACAGCGACATGAGACTGCAGGGGCAACATGACAGCCCTGCCCGGCTCCATGGGCTCCGCCGTGCCCGCTGTGGGCAGGTGGCCGGCTGTGTTGCTTGGACTTCTGAGTCCCAGTCAGGGCTGTCGGCTCATGGCCAGGGGCCCGGGCAGCCTCCGGCGATGCCGGGCCAGCCCCCCCGTTTTTGTGGGGTGAGGATGGAGATTGAGCTGTTGTGAGGACTACGGTATGGACTACTGGGGCCAGGGAACCCTGGTCACTGTCTCCTCAGGTAAGAACGCTGGCCCTTCTCGGGCCTTTCTTTTCTGCTCCTCTTGGTGGGTCTTTCTGGGCAGCAGTGGCTGGGGCCTCGGGACGTGTCCCCCAGACCGTGGGCCTGGGCAGGCTGACCAGGGAGGATAGGGGCTGGGGCACAGGGACTTCGGAGCCTCTTGATTTTCGGGCGCCTTTTGGAAACTGAAATAACGCAGCTTGTCTGGGAGTCACTGAGCCCCTGCAAGAGGCTGCCGGCCTGAAGGGCCGTGCCGGGGCGAGAGGTCGGACCGGCCGAGGGCCAGCGGGGCCGCGGGACATTTTCGCGGTCAGAATCGAGTGTTTGCAGAACCAGGAGCAGGCAGCTCAGGGAAACACTGCCCTCAGAACGAGGAGTCAAGTCCTGGGCTAGATTGGATTTCTTTTCAAGTCCATTACTTTTCTATCATTTAATTTAAAACTTGCTAGGTTGTATTTAGACTTCTGTATTGGCAAGGAGGGCACCGTCCCGGCGAGGAGGGGCGTGTGGCCGGGATGGGGCCGAGGCCCGAGGGCTCAGCCCAGGGAGGCAGCTTCTCCGAGGAAATGCTTTGCTTACCGAGTTGAAAGACAGAGTTCAGAAAAGTGTGACTTTATTTTACTTTATTTCTTAGAATATATTTTTATTGATTTCAGAGAGGAAGGGAGAGGGAGAGAGAGACAGAAACATCAATGATAAGAGATAATCATTGATGGACTGCCTCCTGCACAGCCCCCACTGGGGATCGAGCCCACAACCCGGGCCTGTGCCCTTGACCGGAATCAAACCTGTGACCCTTCAGTCCGCAGGCTGACGCTCTGTCCACTGGGCAAGACAGGCCAGGGCAAGGAAAGTGTGACTTTAAACTGTGAGAGATTTTCAAGGACACTAAATTTTTAAAAATCTTATTATTTAATTAACAATCGGGAATCATGTCTTTCTGGAGTAGATAGTGGTGCCAGTTTGGCCAGAAACGGTGACAGGGAACCGTGGGCTGAGTTTTGACAAAGATAGATGATTTTTCACTGAGTGGAGGGTTGTTCGGATGGAGCGGAGCCGGTGGTGGCGATGGCTGGGGCCGAGCACCTGCAGCCGGCGGCCGGAAGCGGGCCGGCCAGAGTCTATTTTCGGAAGCAAGAAAACACAGTTGACACATTTATAGCTTCTGGTACTGAGACGTGGTTTCGGGGGTTTTGCCCACAAATCTAAATGTGTCACTGGAGCAAAACAACACCTGGGGGCTGAGCTCTGAGATAAGGCGGAGGCGCGGGAGCCAGGAGTTCCTCTTTTAGCATCTGGGTTTCGTTTCTCGGACTTCGCTTACCAGCTTCTCATTTATATTCATTTTCAAAGTAACATGTGTGAGACATGAAACCGCCTCAGGGCCGTTTACCCGGGCCCATGTACCTGTTTTCAATCTGCTGGCCCTGCCAGTGGTCATTCACCGCGCTGGCCCGTCCCCACAGCCCGGTTTCACAGGGACTGTCCTGTTTTTTTTTTAAGTTAGTGTTTTCTCTCCGTGAGGAAGAGGCACTTTGCGATTTCTGATAAAGTCACCTTTGTTTCAAGACCGATTTTCAAGTATGCCTCTGAGGACAGACTGCAGGTGAACTGTGTGGGATTGTCCCGGCTTAGCTCAGTGAAGCCTCGTAGTCCGTGCACTAAGAGGAAACCCGTCAGGTCTCCAGGCAGAAAGGAGCCGGGCGCGTGGCAAGGCCTCCTTCGCACTTGAACTTGCTCCCGTGGAGGTGGAGGATCTGAGAGCGGCCGAGCCCCGGGGTAGGAGGTGCAGCCCCAGCTTCCGCCGCCAGCCGGCCGCTCTCCTGAGTCCCCAGTGACCGAGTCCGAGTCCCGAGTGAGTGAGTGAGTGAGTGAGTGGTGGGGGTGGAGGAATTGCTGCAGGACAAAGGCCTCCCCTCCCCCTCCCCCCAGGACGTGCAAGTGACCGGCAGGTGTGGTGAGAGAAGCCACCGCTGCCAGCCCTCGGGGCAGTGGGTGTGACAGCTTTGCCTCCACTTGAAGGGGGATCTTGGACCATTGGTGCCCCATGGAGGCGGAGAGGCCTGTGTGTGACCCCTCGAGCTGCCCTGTGTGGGTCCCATTTAACTTTCCCTAGAAAACCTTCCAGGGAAAAGTAGCCAGTGCTGCCCTGTGGCTTCCCGGCTGCGGACAGTGTGGCTCAGACAAGCCCGCACGTTTGTCTTTCCCTAAGTTGTGAGCACAGCTTCAGTTTTCAGGTCATTGTCGCGCATTAGAAAATGCCCAACCTTGTGCTACAGAGCAGGGTTTAAGTGGCGAGATGAGAAAAATGCATTTCCTGGCCATTTCGAGTGATGATTTTTCTCTGGAGGGAACGTGGTTAAAGGCAGAGGCTGACCGTGGGGCACGTGGCGGGGGAGCCACTCCCCCGATCCAGTACTCCCCGAGCCCCACCGATGTTTACTGACTTAAAGTGGACGGGGGTGCTTTAACCAGGCTGCTGAGGGGCAGTGACTGGCACTGCTTGGGGGCCGAACGCCAGCAGGAACAGGGCCTGGGTGGGAGCTGGTGTATCAGGGGCGAAAGGCAGGAAGAGGCCCCGGGAAGGAACTGACCTGGGCTGAGCCCAGCTGCACAGAACTCCGGGGTGAGATGCTTCAGCTGAGGTGAGCAGGTCGGGTGGTCTGAACCTTCTGAACGGAACCACGGGGCTAAGCAGGGCTGCACTGGGCTGCTCCGGGCGGCCCGAGCTGAGCCGGGTGAGCTGGGTGAGCTGAGCTGGGCTGAGCTGAGCTGAGCTGAGCTGAGCTGAGCTGAGCTGAGCTGAGCTGAGCTGAGCTGAGCTGAGCTGAGCTGAGCTGAGCTGAGCTGAGCTGAGCTGAGCTGAGCTGAGCTGAGCTGAGCTGAGCTGAGCTGAGCTGAGCTGAGCTGAGCTGAGCTGAGCTGAGCTGAGCTGAGCTGAGCTGAGCTGAGCTGAGCTGAGCTGAGCTGAGCTGAGCTGAGCTGAGCTGAGCTGAGCTGAGCTGAGCTGAGCTGAGCTGAGCTGAGCTGAGCTGAGCTGAGCTGAGCTGAGCTGAGCTGAGCTGAGCTGAGCTGAGCTGAGCTGAGCTGAGCTGAGCTGAGCTGAGCTGAGCTGAGCTGAGCTGAGCTGAGCTGAGCTGAGCTGAGCTGAGCTGAGCTGAGCTGAGCTGAGCTGAGCTGAGCTGAGCTGAGCTGAGCTGAGCTGAGCTGAGCTGAGCTGAGCTGAGCTGAGCTGAGCTGAGCTGAGCTGAGCTGAGCTGAGCTGAGCTGAGCTGAGCTGAGCTGAGCTGAGCTGAGCTGAGCTGAGCTGAGCTGAGCTGAGCTGAGCTGAGCTGAGCTGAGCTGAGCTGAGCTGAGCTGAGCTGAGCTGAGCTGAGCTGAGCTGAGCTGAGCTGAGCTGAGCTGAGCTGAGCTGAGCTGAGCTGAGCTGAGCTGAGCTGAGCTGAGCTGAGCTGAGCTGAGCTGAGCTGAGCTGAGCTGAGCTGAGCTGAGCTGAGCTGAGCTGAGCTGAGCTGAGCTGAGCTGAGCTGAGCTGAGCTGAGCTGAGCTGAGCTGAGCTGAGCTGAGCTGAGCTGAGCTGAGCTGAGCTGAGCTGAGCTGAGCTGAGCTGAGCTGAGCTGAGCTGAGCTGAGCTGAGCTGAGCTGAGCTGAGCTGAGCTGAGCTGAGCTGAGCTGAGCTGAGCTGAGCTGAGCTGAGCTGAGCTGAGCTGAGCTGAGCTGAGCTGAGCTGAGCTGAGCTGAGCTGAGCTGAGCTGAGCTGAGCTGAGCTGAGCTGAGCTGAGCTGAGCTGAGCTGAGCTGAGCTGAGCTGAGCTGAGCTGAGCTGAGCTGAGCTGAGCTGAGCTGAGCTGAGCTGAGCTGAGCTGAGCTGAGCTGAGCTGAGCTGAGCTGAGCTGAGCTGAGCTGAGCTGAGCTGAGCTGAGCTGAGCTGAGCTGAGCTGAGCTGAGCTGAGCTGAGCTGAGCTGAGCTGAGCTGAGCTGAGCTGAGCTGAGCTGAGCTGAGCTGAGCTGAGCTGAGCTGAGCTGAGCTGAGCTGAGCTGAGCTGAGCTGAGCTGAGCTGAGCTGAGCTGAGCTGAGCTGAGCTGAGCTGAGCTGAGCTGAGCTGAGCTGAGCTGAGCTGAGCTGAGCTGAGCTGAGCTGAGCTGAGCTGAGCTGAGCTGAGCTGAGCTGAGCTGAGCTGAGCTGAGCTGAGCTGAGCTGAGCTGAGCTGAGCTGAGCTGAGCTGAGCTGAGCTGAGCTGAGCTGAGCTGAGCTGAGCTGAGCTGAGCTGAGCTGAGCTGAGCTGAGCTGAGCTGAGCTGAGCTGAGCTGAGCTGAGCTGAGCTGAGCTGAGCTGAGCTGAGCTGAGCTGAGCTGAGCTGAGCTGAGCTGAGCTGAGCTGAGCTGAGCTGAGCTGAGCTGAGCTGAGCTGAGCTGAGCTGAGCTGAGCTGAGCTGAGCTGAGCTGAGCTGAGCTGAGCTGAGCTGAGCTGAGCTGAGCTGAGCTGAGCTGAGCTGAGCTGAGCTGAGCTGAGCTGAGCTGAGCTGAGCTGAGCTGAGCTGAGCTGAGCTGAGCTGAGCTGAGCTGAGCTGAGCTGAGCTGAGCTGAGCTGAGCTGAGCTGAGCTGAGCTGAGCTGAGCTGAGCTGAGCTGAGCTGAGCTGAGCTGAGCTGAGCTGAGCTGAGCTGAGCTGAGCTGAGCTGAGCTGAGCTGAGCTGAGCTGAGCTGAGCTGAGCTGAGCTGAGCTGAGCTGAGCTGAGCTGAGCTGAGCTGAGCTGAGCTGAGCTGAGCTGAGCTGAGCTGAGCTGAGCTGAGCTGAGCTGAGCTGAGCTGAGCTGAGCTGAGCTGAGCTGAGCTGAGCTGAGCTGAGCTGAGCTGAGCTGAGCTGAGCTGAGCTGAGCTGAGCTGAGCTGAGCTGAGCTGAGCTGAGCTGAGCTGAGCTGAGCTGAGCTGAGCTGAGCTGAGCTGAGCTGAGCTGAGCTGAGCTGAGCTGAGCTGAGCTGAGCTGAGCTGAGCTGAGCTGAGCTGAGCTGAGCTGAGCTGAGCTGAGCTGAGCTGAGCTGAGCTGAGCTGAGCTGAGCTGAGCTGAGCTGAGCTGAGCTGAGCTGAGCTGAGCTGAGCTGAGCTGAGCTGAGCTGAGCTGAGCTGAGCTGAGCTGAGCTGAGCTGAGCTGAGCTGAGCTGAGCTGAGCTGAGCTGAGCTGAGCTGAGCTGAGCTGAGCTGAGCTGAGCTGAGCTGAGCTGAGCTGAGCTGAGCTGAGCTGAGCTGAGCTGAGCTGAGCTGAGCTGAGCTGAGCTGAGCTGAGCTGAGCTGAGCTGAGCTGAGCTGAGCTGAGCTGAGCTGAGCTGAGCTGAGCTGAGCTGAGCTGAGCTGAGCTGAGCTGAGCTGAGCTGAGCTGAGCTGAGCTGAGCTGAGCTGAGCTGAGCTGAGCTGAGCTGAGCTGAGCTGAGCTGAGCTGAGCTGAGCTGAGCTGAGCTGAGCTGAGCTGAGCTGAGCTGAGCTGAGCTGAGCTGAGCTGAGCTGAGCTGAGCTGAGCTGAGCTGAGCTGAGCTGAGCTGAGCTGAGCTGAGCTGAGCTGAGCTGAGCTGAGCTGAGCTGAGCTGAGCTGAGCTGAGCTGAGCTGAGCTGAGCTGAGCTGAGCTGAGCTGAGCTGAGCTGAGCTGAGCTGAGCTGAGCTGAGCTGAGCTGAGCTGAGCTGAGCTGAGCTGAGCTGAGCTGAGCTGAGCTGAGCTGAGCTGAGCTGAGCTGAGCTGAGCTGAGCTGAGCTGAGCTGAGCTGAGCTGAGCTGAGCTGAGCTGAGCTGAGCTGAGCTGAGCTGAGCTGAGCTGAGCTGAGCTGAGCTGAGCTGAGCTGAGCTGAGCTGAGCTGAGCTGAGCTGAGCTGAGCTGAGCTGAGCTGAGCTGAGCTGAGCTGAGCTGAGCTGAGCTGAGCTGAGCTGAGCTGAGCTGAGCTGAGCTGAGCTGAGCTGAGCTGAGCTGAGCTGAGCTGAGCTGAGCTGAGCTGAGCTGAGCTGAGCTGAGCTGAGCTGAGCTGAGCTGAGCTGAGCTGAGCTGAGCTGAGCTGAGCTGAGCTGAGCTGAGCTGAGCTGAGCTGAGCTGAGCTGAGCTGAGCTGAGCTGAGCTGAGCTGAGCTGAGCTGAGCTGAGCTGAGCTGAGCTGAGCTGAGCTGAGCTGAGCTGAGCTGAGCTGAGCTGAGCTGAGCTGAGCTGAGCTGAGCTGAGCTGAGCTGAGCTGAGCTGAGCTGAGCTGAGCTGAGCTGAGCTGAGCTGAGCTGAGCTGAGCTGAGCTGAGCTGAGCTGAGCTGAGCTGAGCTGAGCTGAGCTGAGCTGAGCTGAGCTGAGCTGAGCTGAGCTGAGCTGAGCTGAGCTGAGCTGAGCTGAGCTGAGCTGAGCTGAGCTGAGCTGAGCTGAGCTGGGTGAGCTGGGCTGGGTGAGCTGGGCTGAGCGAGCTGAGCTGGGCTGAGCTGAGCTGAGCTGGGTGCGCTGAGCTGAGCTGAGCTGGGCTGAGCTGAGCTGGGTAGCTGAGCTGGGCTGAGCTGTGCTCAGTGAGCTGGGTGGGCTGAGCTGGATTGGGAAGAGCTGGGCTAAGCTTGGTTCAGCAAAAATGGCTCGGGTAAGCCGGCTTATCTCAGAGGACTTTGCTAGTTGTTTTGGCTGCATTAACCGGCTGGTCCACGGGGGTATCAGGGGCTGAGCTGACTGTGCAGGACTGAGCTGCTGACCCTGGGCTGACCCCGTGACCTGGTTGTGCTCAGAATGTGTTGAGTTGAGTCTGTATTCATCCTGGCATCACACACACCATCCTTTGGACCCCAGGCACCCAGGGCAGGGCTCCATGTGGCAGAGCCACAGCAGTGAGGGCTGGGCTCGCAGGGGCCCCTCTCTCGCTGACCGCTGCCTGGGGATCCCCGGGTGCTGGGACTGAGCGTGCGGCTGCAGTGGTCAGAGGGAAGGCTGCACTGGCCTGGGCCTGGGCCGTGTGAGCCGGGAGCCAGGGTGCACGTGCTCCTGCGTCTGGGGACAGCACTGCCGGGGGAGGAAGGGCCAGTCCTGCTGCTCCAGCAAGAGCAGCTCTTGTCCTCCCAGGCTCAGAGCCGGCTCCTGTGGGGTGGGGGCCGTGGCAGCCTCCCTGGACCCAAGCCTTGGCCAGGGCTCCGGCCTGCCACACTGCCTGCCCCACAGGTGGCGAGGCCTGGGGGGGCCCATCGAGGGGCAGCCTTGGGGCGACAGGGCCTGACCCCTGACCTGCTGAGTCTGGGAAGTCATCCTCTCATGCCCTTTCTCTTTTGTCCTGCTCGGGTCCTCAGAGAGCGTGTCTGCCCCCAACGTCTTCCCCCTCGTCTCCTGTGAGAACTCCCTGTACGATGAGCGCCTGGTGGCCATGGGCTGCCTGGCCAAGGACTTCCTGCCCACCCCCGTCACCTTCTCCTGGAAATTTAAGAACACCAGTGACATCATCAACCAGGACATCCAGAACTTCCCATCGGTCCTGAGGGGAGGCAAGTACGAGGCCAGCTCGCAGCTGCTCCTGCCCAGCGCCGACATCCTCCAGGGCACGGACGAGTTCGTGACGTGCAAGGTCAAACACTCCAATGGCGAAAAAGAAGTGCAAGTGCCCATCCCAGGTGAGCGAGGCCTCCCCCCTGGCGGGCGGGCGAGGGGGGCGGGCAGCCTGGCTGACGCTGTCCCCTCCCTGCAGGTGGCCAACCGCTGCCCCCCCACGTGAACGTCTTCATCCCGCCCCGCGACTCCTTCACCGGCTCCAGCCCCCGGACGTCCACGCTCATCTGCCAGGCCACGGGCTTCAACCCCAGGAAGATCGCGGTGTCCTGGCTGAAGGAGGGGAAGCCGCTGAACTCCGGCTTCGTCACGGACAAAACAGAGGTCGAGCGCAAAGCCCGCCCCGTGACCTACAGGGTCACCAGCAGGCTGACCATCACCGAGAGCGACTGGCTCAGCCAGAGCGTGTTCACCTGCCAAGTGGAGCACCAGGGGCTGATCTACCAGAAGAACGTGTCGTCCATGTGCGGCCCCAGTGAGTGTTCCTGCCCCGAGGGCCCAGGGCAGAGACCCCCAACACACAGGTGTCCACTCGGGTCGGCAGACCCTGCCCCTGATGAGGCCAGCAGCTCCCCGAGCCTTGGCTTCCCGGAGAGGCCAGGGGCGGGGAGGGGGCCCCACAGGGCCACTCGGGGCCGCTTGTAGGGCGAGGCCCAGTGTCCCCTCCGGCAGGACCCCAGGGCCCAGGAGAGGCTCGGCTAAGTTGACCCCTTGTCTTGATTCCACCCCCTCTCCTGTCCCAGGTTCATCCACCATCCGAGTCTTCACCATCCCCCCGACCTTTGCCAGCATCTTCCTCACCAAGGAGGCCACTCTGTCCTGCCTGGTCACGGACCTGGCCACCTATGACAGCCTGAGCATCTCCTGGACCCGCCAGAATGGCGATGAAGTGAAAACCCACATCAACGTCTCTGAGAGCCACCCCAACGCCACCTTCAGTGCCATAGGAAAGGCCACAGTGTGCGTGGAGGACTGGGAGTCGGGCGAGAAGTTCACCTGCACAGTGACCCACACGGACCTGCCCTCGCCTCTGAAGCACACCATCTTCAGGCCCAAGGGTAGGCCTGCCCTGCCCTTCCCACCACCCCAGACCCTCCCACACATGGCATCCAGGGCCTGGACCCCATGGCAGGCCCGGGAGCAGAAGCACACATGCACATGGACACAGGCACAAATGCACATGGACATAGGCACATGCACACAGACACACAGATACCTGCACATTCATACACTAAGACACACAGACACACATGCCCTCTGCTCCCCCTGTTGTCAGGGAAGAACCCCGCTGCCCCTGACCTGAGCTCACCCCATCCCTCTCCCCACAGAAATCGCCAAGCACATGCCCTCGGTGTACGTGCAGCCGCCCAGCCGGGAGCAGCTGAGCCTGCGGGAGTCGGCCTCGGTCACCTGCCTGGTGAAGAGCTTCTCGCCCCCAGACGTGCATGTGCAGTGGCTGCAGAGAGGGCAGCCCGTGTCCTCCGACATGTATGTGACCAGCGCCCCAATGCCCGAGCCCCAGGCCCCCGGCTTGTACTTCGCCCACAGCATCCTGACCGTGAGTGAGGAGGACTGGAGCGCCGGGGAGACCTACACCTGCGTCGTGGCCCACGAGGCCCTGCCGTACTCGGTGACCGAGAGGACCGTGGACAAGTCCACCGGTAAACCCACCCTGTACAACGTGTCCCTGGTCATGTCTGACATGGCCAGCACCTGCCACTGAACCCCAGGCTGCCCCTCAAGGGTGGTCCTGGAGCCTCTGGCTGACCTGTGCTGTGTGTGCAAACTGACTGTGTCAATGGGGTGGGGTGTTGCATTCTATAAAAACTAGAAATAAAAAGATCCGTTCAAAAGATGCTGGTCCGAGTGAGCAATGCTCTTGCCTGCTGGGGCCACGGCTATGCTGCCCCCACCGCACAGACCACTTGCCACCACTGCCCCCACCCCTGCCTCACCCACTGGCCTCCCACCTGCCTCTCAAAGCCCTGAGCCCCTACAGCAAGCATGTCAAACTCAAAGGCTAACACAGGCCAAATAAACAAGGCATGTAGCCCGTGGGCCATGAGGTTGACATGCTTGCCCTTCAGAGTGCTCCCTCCCAGCAGACAGCACCAATGCTCACTGCTTCTCCACTGCTGCTATGGGCTCAGGGGGGCCCGGGCGTACAACACGCACACATGCATACAGAGACACATGCATGTGTGCGCACAGACATGCACACATGGACGTAGATACACATGCAGTAGACATGGGCACACATACACATAGACACTTGCCCAGATATGGACACACACAAAGGCACACATGGACATGGTCACAGAGACATACACACATGGGCATGGGCATAGATACACATGCTATGGACATTGGCACACAGACACATGCACACATGCAGAGACACATGCATGCATGCATGCAGACATATGCCCAGATATGGACATACACAAAGACACACATGCACTTGGACACAGGCACACACAGACATGCACATGCATCGACATGGACACAAAGATACATGCTGTGGACATGGGCACACAGACATATGCCCAAATATGGACACACACAAAGACATGCATGCCCACAGACACAGGCACACACATGGACATAAACACAGACATGCTGTGGACATGGGCACACAAACACATGCCCATGTACACATGTATGCAAAGATACAGACATGCAGTACACACTCGTGCACATGTGCACAGGTGTTTACACAGAGACTCGCATGTATGCACTGAAACACATGCAAAGATATGGACACATCCACACAGAGGCACACATGCACATGGACACAGGCACACATGCACAGATATACACACATGAATATAGACACAGAGACACATACCATGGATATGGACACACAGAGACATGCAAAGACATGTACACATGCACACAGATACACAAATACCTACATATTCATATACACAAACCCACAGATGCATGCACACTCACACACACACATACATGGACACATACACACAGAGGCACAAATGCACATGGATGTAGAGACACACATGCAGTGGACATGAACATACATGCACATATATACATACACATATGCAGAGGCATAGACACATGCACACAGAGATATCTGCACACACATGCATGCACAGTTAACGCACGCTCATACACACATCCACACAGAGACACACATGAGCACTCGCACACAGAGACGAGTCATAAATGCACAGATGTACACTGACACATGGACACATTTGCACAGACACATGCACGTGCAGACACACACATGCATGTGCATGCAGAGATATGCACACACATACGGATGTCCACCCTGTGCGCCCTGGTCACTCGGTTCCTTTGCACACTCCTGCCTCTGCACCGCGCTTGCTACAGGGCTTCCTGCCCAGTCTGCTTGTCCTCTGTCTCTGCTTGGAGGTGCATCCACGGGCCAGCCCAGCCAGGACTCTGACCAGGGCACCATCCCAGGCTCAGAGGGCCACCTGGCAGGCGGCTGCAGCTCCTTGGGGCCACCCCAGCCCTGTCCAGGCTGTTGAAACAGCAGGACCTGCACCCGCTTGTGAACAGAAGTAGTCAGCGTGTCCTGGAGGCAGGGTGGCTGATCTGGTGGGCTCTGTCCCGCAAACACCTGGCCCTGGAAACGGTGGGGAAAGAGACAGTCTGCAGCAGGGAGTGAGGGGTACAGGGGCCCGGGTGGGGCTCCATTCCCAGCAGACGGCACTGCCCCCCTTCGGGCCACCCCCTAGACACCCCACGTTCTTGGTCCTTTGGGGACCTGGGCTCCAGACACTGCCTCAAAGGCTCATCTTTGTTGGGGCTCCAGACCCCACTGAATGTGTCCGTATGTCCATCCCAGCCTCACTCTGTCTGGAGCCTCGGGTGTCTGTCAGACCCCTTGATCCCAGAGATATGATTCCTAGTGGGGCAGACAAGCCAGCCAGGGCCCCCCATGGCTTCCCACACTCGCCCTCCACTCTGAGAAGGAGAGAGTGAGAGTCCCACTGAGGAAGCAAGGAGGGTCCCTCGGGCCCAGACCTGTGCCTGCCCCCACTGCCACCCCCAACCACAGGGGACAGGAGGTCCCACTCTCAGCTTCGTCACCCCAAATGGCCCTGGCTGTACCACCTCTAGGGGAGCCCAGGACCCTGAAAGCACTTCACTGGGGTCCCAGCCCTGCTGCACCCCGAGTGCTTCAGGGCCCCTGCCTGCTGCCCTCTGCTTCTGCCGCCGCCCCACCCCGCCCTGTCCTCCTGGGGCAGCACCGCCAGGACCCCCAGAAATGGGAGATGGGTGGCCTGGGAGGGGGTTTTGGGGTGCAGCACTGAGCCCCGTGTTGTGTCCCTGCAGGGGGTGAGGTGAGCGCCGATGAGGAGGGCTTCGAGAACCTCAACACCATGGCCTCCACCTTCATCGTCCTGTTCCTGCTCAGCCTCTTCTACAGCACAACAGTCACCCTGTTCAAGGTGAGCAGGTGGGCTGGAGGGCTGGGGCTCAGGGGCACCCAGCCCCGCCCTGAGCCATGCCTCACGCTGCCTCTGTTTTCCGCAGGTAAAGTGACCCGCTGGGCAGGAGCGTGGACATAAGGAGGGGGTGCCCGCCGCCTTGCACCCCAGCCCGGCCTGCCACTGGGTCCTTGTACATAAACCCCCTGAGCCGCCTCCAGCTTCCAGCGCGAGGAAACCGCTTCCCTGGACACCCCGCTGCCGAGCGCTCGGCCGGGGTCGCTGCGCAGTGTGTGCCCTTGTCGCCTTGAAATAAATATGTACATGTTACCTTGTGACACTGCATCCTGTGAGCCTAATTCTGACGGGTACGTGGGAAAGGGGGGTGCCCTCTGCCTAGGCCTGGGGCTGGGGCAGATCAGCCTGAAGGACGAGGCTGAGCTGGGGGGATGCAGGCCTGGGCTCCCCAGCACCGCCTCTGCAAAGCTGGGCTCTGCCTCCCAGTGGTCAGCAGGGCCTGGCCTGGGGCACCCGCAGGACGCGCCTCACTGCTTGTTGCCGTTCCTGGAAAGCCCAGCCACTCTGTCTGTCCCAACCTCGCCGAGTGTCTGGGGTGTGTCCTTGGGTCCTGGTGACCAGACTAGAGCATGCATGACCCGTAGGCAGGACAGCAGAGGGAGGCACCATCCACCCTGGGGCCAAAACAAGGCAGGTGGCAACCAGGCCAGGAACCATGGCAGGGCGTGAGGTGCTGGGAGGCAGGAGCCATGCGTAGGGGACGTGGGGCGTGTGTTGGGGGCTCAAGGGCCAGGGGCTCACAGCCGGGCAGCCACAGGCCATGCAGCGTCCAGGCCTGCTATGGTGGCCAGTGTCTGGGCAGAGGCCATCCAGGGGCAGGCAGGGCAGACCTGGCAGGGCCAGGGTCCCAGGAAGGGCCAGGGCAGGAGCCGCTGAGCCCGGCTCTGGGAGGAGGCACTTCCAGGAGCGGAGGCACTGCCTGGGCTCGCAGGGCCACCGACGCGGGTGTTCAGGCCTGAGCGTTAGCCTGGCCCTGCAGGGTGACTGCCCACAACAGAATTGGAAAAGGACATGGGTCCCAGGGGAAGTCTGTCCCCTGGCCTGGGCTCCACGTGCACAGCTTCCAGGCTCCAGCTTTGTTTCCATTAAGTGGATCCCATCCGGGCCCAGCCCGTGGGTTGGGGGACCCGAGCAGGGCCCCAGGCAGTGTGAGCAGTGTGAGGCTCAGGCAGCATGTGGCTCTCAGGACAGCACCAGTGAGTGTCTGAAGGCCAGCATGGGAAAGAAGCACAGGTCCGACGGCTTAACCACAGAAGCGTATCCTGCCGCCGGGCTCTGGGGTCAGATCAAGGCGGGGGCAGGGGCAGGCAGCCCCTGTGTCTGACCATGGCCTCCTTTCCCGCCTCCACAGCCTTTAGCTTGCTCTGCACTTCCACCACTGTGGCCTTCTCCTGTGTGTGTGTGTGTCCCCAAGTCCCCTTCTCATAAATTCGAAGTCAATCCAGGGAACCCTCTCCTTAACTCACTGATCACACCCTCCATCATCCCAATGCAGCTGCCTTCTGCAGGACCTGGGGAGAGGGTAGGACAGTGATGGCGAACCTATGACACACGTGTCAGAGGTGACACGTGAACTCATTTTTTTTTGGTTGATTTTTCTTTGTTAAATGGCATTTAAATATATAAAATAAATATCAAAAATATAAATATTTGTTTTACTATGGTTGCAAATATCAAAAAAATTTCTATATGTGACACGGCACCAGAGTTAAGTTAGGGTTTTTCAAAATGCTGACACGCCGAGCTCAAAAGGTTCGCCATCACTGGGGTAGGATGTCAGTGTATAAATTGAGGCACACAACTCAAGCCGCAACAGTCTACCCACTGACTCCCCAAATTCACATCTTTCTCACACACAGAATACCCCACCCCAACATCCCCTCTCAGTCCCAAATCTCAGCTAAACCAGGCAGAGGAGTCACGAAAGTGAGGGGTTCTGGGACTGAGGCCTCCCAGCCATGGACTGTGGAGCAGACTCGGGGTCTGCAGGCCGGGCAGCCCCTTGGCTGGCATTTCCATGCCAGAGGGAGGAGAGGGAAGGAAGGGGAAGGGGAGGCCATGGGCCCCAAGCAAGTTCAAGCCTGAAGGGCAAGCACCATTAGATGTTTTTTAATTGATTTAAGAGAGAGAGAGAAACTTCGATTTGTTGTTCCACTTACTGATATGTCCATTGGTTGCTAGTATGTGCCCTGACCAGGATGGAACCTGTAACCTTTGTTGTATGGTTGCGATGCTCTAACCAGCTGAGCTACCCGGCCAGGGCCCAAACCCCATTAGATTTCGAGGCCCCAGAAGGTCCCTCAGTCCATGCTCTGTCCTCGGGGTCCATGTGGCAGCCAACCCTCCAAGTGGGGCCTGAGTCCTCGGGCCCTGGTGGCAGTGGTGCCCCGCCGGTCGCTGACGGCCTTCAGTCCAGGCAAGCCTGCTCCTGCTCCTGCTCCTTCCTAATCCTCCTCCTCCCCAGCTCCTCCTTCTGCTCCTCCTTCTCCTGCTCCTCCTCCTCCTCCTGCTCCTCCTCCTCTTGCTCTTGCTCCTGCTCCTCTTCCTCCTCCTGCTCCTCCTCCTCCTCCTGCTCCTCCTCCTCTTCCAAATCCTCCTGCTCCTCCTCTTGCTCCTCCTCCTCCTCCTCTTCCTAATTTTCCTCCTCCTGCTCCTGCTCCTCCTACTCCTCCTGCTCCTGCTCCTGCTCTTCCTCTTACTCTTCCTCCTCCTGCTCCTGCTCCTCCTCCTACTACTCCTTCTCCTGCTGCTCCTGCTCCTGCTCTTCCTCCTCCTGCTCCTCCTCCTCTTGCTCCTGCTCCTCCTCCTCCTGTTCCTCCTCTTCCTCCTCCTCCTGCTCCTCCTCCTGTTCCTGATCCTCCTCCTCCTGCTCCTCCTGCTGCTCCTTCTCCTCCTCCTGCTCCTCCTCCTCCTGTTCCTGATCCTCCTCCTCCTGCTCCTCCTGCTGCTCCTTCTCCTCCTCCTGCTTCTCCTCCTGCTCCTGCTCCTGCTCCAGCAAGACTCCCACATGCTCTTCCTGGCTGGTGCTGATCTGGCTGCTAGAACCTGGGAGTCAGGGGCATGACCCCTGAACCACCCCTCTGCCCTGTCTTAGGAGCCTGTTCTTCCAACAGGCTGAGAACCTCCCAGACCCACCTGGACTGGTCCCTCCATATGCCTCCTTCAGCTTCTCTCTCCTCCCATCCCCATGGGGCAGCAAGGAGAGGCCGCCAGCACTTTGCCCATGAGCCCTACTTTGCAAAAAACAGTGGAACAGAATTCAGCCACATCCGTGACCTCTTCACAAGGTCCTCCAGTCTCCAGTGCCCAGGTCCTGCTCCAGTTCGAGGCCTCACCCCATGCACTCTGAGCATCGGCATTCCTGACCACAGGGACAGGCCTTCTCCCTAGCTCCCCTCCCCTTCCGGGGCCCACACAGAATCGCCTTCAATGCCCACTTTCTATCAGCCTCTCCGATCAGTTTGGGCTTTTCTTTTTTAAATGCTTTTCTACAAAATTTATTTTTAGTGTTAAGAGTATTACAGATGTCCCCCATTTCTCCCCATTTGCACCCCTCCACCCAGCTCCTGCCCCACCCCCCAGTCTTCACCTCACTACTGTCTGTGCCCATGGGTTATGTAGATATGCATATAAGTTCTTTGGTTAATCTCTTCCCAAACTCCCCTCCCCAACTGCCTCTGAGATTTGTCAGTCGTTCCATGCTTCCATGTCTTTGGATCTATTTTATTCAGCAGTTTATGTTGTTCATTAGATTCCACATATAAGTGAGATCATGTGATATTTGTCTTTCTCTGACTAGCTTATTTTGATTAGCATAATACTCTCCAGGGCCCTCCATGCTGTCTTAAAGAGTATTAAATGCTTTTTTACAGCGGCATGTAACCACATGGTGTAAATGTACCATACCTTTTTTTTATCCACACTTGGGCACGTGGGCTGTTTCCAGATCTTGGCTATTGTTAGTGCTACTGTGAACATGGAGTGCATATATAATTTCTGAATGGTGTTTTGGATTTCATAGAATATATTCCCAGAAGGGGGATTGCTGAGTCATAAGGCAGTTTAATTTTTAGTTTTTTGAGGAAACTCTAAACTGTCAAATATTCATTGAGCATGATGGCTTGGGCCGATTTCTGGGGTCTCTGTTCTGTTCCATGGATCTATATGCCTGTTTTTGTGCCAGTACCAGGCTGTTTTGATTACAATGGCCTTGTAGCATAGTTTCATATCCGGTATTGTGATCCCTCCAACTTTGTTCTTCATTCTCAAGATTGCTGCAGCTATTCGGGGTCTTTTTGTTGTTGTTCCATATAAATTTTTTGAATATTTTTTCTAGATCTGTGAACTATGCTGATTCCAGCATTATCATAATTCCAAAACCAGATAAAGACACTACAGAGAAAGAAAATTATGGGCCAATATCCCTGATGAATATAGATGCTAAAATCCTCAACAAAATATTAGCAAATCAGATCCAGCAATACATTAAAAAGATCATACACCATCACCAAGTGGGATTTATTCCAGGGATGCAAGTTTGGTACAATATTTTCAAGTCAATAAATATGATACACCACATAAACAAAATGAAGGATAAAAATCACATGATCATATCAATAGACACAGAAAAAGCATGTTCATAGTGATTGCATTGACTCTGTAGATCGCTTTGGGTAGTATGGGCATTTTTAATGATGTTTGTTCTTCCAATCCATGAACATGGTATGTGCTTCCACTTGCTTGTACCTTCCTCTATTTCTTCTTTCAATGCCCTATAGTTTTCTGAGTACAAGTCTTGTTAAACTCTCTTTCTGAGAATTCATTATTGGTGTATAAAAATGCCATTGATTTATGGATGTTAATTTTGTATCCTGCTTATTTACTGAATTTATTTAATAAATCTAGTAGGTTTTTGGTGGAGTTTTTGGTTTTTTAATGTATAATATCATATCATCTGTGAATAATAAGAATTTTACTTCCTCCTTTCAAATTTGGATGCTTTTTATTTTTTCTTCTTGTCTAATTGCCGTGGCTAGGACTTCCAATACTATCCTATCTAATAAAGAGTGAATATGCTAATTGACCCTCACACCGTCGCAAAGATGGTGGCACCCACAGTCAATAAGGGGGAATATGCTAATTGACTGTCCCACCCTCAAAGATGGCAGCACCCACAGCCACAAGATGGCCGGCAGGGGAGGGCAGTTGTGGGCGATCAGGCCAGCAGGGGAGGCCGGCAGGGGAGGGCAGTTGGGGGAGA